TTTACGCCGAGAGCTTCTTGGGTTGAGGCGAGGTTCAGGAAGGATTGGAAGTAGTCGGGCGGCGTGGGGTCGTCGTAGGGGTGGCGGATGTCGTAGACGCCTCGGCCTCCGAATGCGTAGTATGGTTCTTCGACGAGCGATCGGCAGAGGTTGGTGGCGGATGCACATGTTAGATAGCCGTCTACGGTGGTACGGTCAGACTGTCTGCAGTATTCAATTTGGTCGTGGCAGCCTTCTGGCATGTAGTAGGCGTTCTTCATGAAGGTGTAGACTGTGTCGTTGACTGATTTGATACCATACGTGTTGTTGACGGCGAACTCGGGGTAGTAAGGAGCCTGGATCTGCTCATCGACAATTCCGTTGATTATACCAAGAGTATCCATGCGAAGCTCAACACCAGGGGAAGACCCGTTCTTGATCTTCTCATTTTGCTGGTAAAAGTAGTTATAGAAAGCAGGGCCGTAATGACCGCCGTAGCTAGAAACTAGTTAGCAACGCAATTTCTAGTATCGATGCGGATTTACCAACCTCTCAGTCCAAAGATTGAATGTAAAGTTAGTGATATCCGGGTCGAGCTGGGGGCTCAGGTCCAAGAAAGCCTGGAGAATATGCCACGCACCGATGGCTGCAGCATCGGTAGTGTTTGTGGTATTGGGATCAACAAGCGAGTATCGACCCTGTGCATCAGTTTCTGTGGTCTCGTAGGAAAAACCTACACCAACGGGCTGCGAGAGATACAGCATATTGCTGTGCTCATTCCATGAATACGGATTAAGTTGTGTCTTCAAATCCTCAGTAACATTGCATGGGCCATGCTCTTGAAAGAGACCGATGAGCGAGTCACTTCCTGGTCCACCGTTCAACCATAGTGTCTGACGACAAAGTTAAAAGTTGCCACCAAGTTTTGAGTTGAAGTATGGGTTGTACTTACCAACGGCTTTTCGGAAGGGTTTTCACGCGCCTCGAAGAACCAGAAGAACATATTGGTAGTAGGATTGAGACTGATGTAGCCGGCATAATCGTCGACACCTTCAGTAGTCTCACAAACTCCCTCCTTGCCAGGCTGCTTGTAGCGAATCTCGGCACCTTGGGCAGACTTGATGGTAGTGACGCCAGTAGGGTCCGCAGGGACCTGACGCTCAGTGATGAATGACTTGCGAGCATGACTGAGCGTCGCTGCTGCCAAGACGGCAGCAATCTGGGTGAAGCGCGCCATGGTGAAAAGCTTGTCGTGAAGAAGGATGACCAAGGCTTGAGCAGTGAGCTTGCCGAGAAGGCCGCTTCTCTCGGCCTTCTTAAATACGCTGAATCCGAACGAAGCTAAGCCACTTAATAACATGGAGTGCTCTTGCCATGTGCATTTCTTTCCGCCTGTCATGGTTGAGCGCTGCATCGAGGGTAGGCCAAATGCGATATGTGGGTAGCCGTACAGTAGATTAATCTGAATCAGGCAACTGGAAAGTAAGACTGATCATTGCGATTGGCCGGATAACACGGGTATGAAGATCTTGCGAGTAATGCGTTAAGACAACGATACTACTTCGTTGCCGCGGATGGATGTTATGCCACCGGCCACAAACCATGGCTCATGACAAACAGCACCTTGTCGAAAATGCAACCTATGCTGCAGTTTCGCAATCATTGAAACTGCTGTCTGGGGCATTTTTTCATCATGGTAAGCAAGTGCCGGTTCGCATCTTTCTCCAATATTGTCGAACATGCTATACGTGATGCCCATGTAGCCAGCGCGCATCAAATAACGCATCTTACCCAAACAGGAAGCTCGTTATGCGCAGCGGGAGAACAAGGCCTCTTGCCAAGTCGTTCGGTGAGCCGAAGAAAGCTTATCAACGTCATAGTTGTAGCCTCACACTGGAGGTTGGGGCACAGTTGAAAGCGTTGTGGCGTGTTGGGCCGTTGCAAAAGGAGAGAAGAGGCCGCCAGCTCCGCGTGACATGGATATTGACGGTGTGCAACGCTAGCTGCAGTCGGCAGGTCGGCACCCATCCATTATCGCGACAGGGTGCTATTTGGTCTGTAGTACAGTTCGTGATACAAGGGTCTAATGTTCTCAACTTAAGCCGTCTCGGTACAATCTGGCTGTTGACCGGAAACTCGTGTCGAGGTGACTGGGTACTACACCGGCAAAGTGCATGAAAAAAAAAGTACCACCCAAAATCACAACAGTCCATCCCGCACTCCTCCCTCGGCATCGAAAATCTCAATCAATCTCTCAAGCTCTGCTCCTCCTCCGCCTCACCTCCTCCACATCACCCCCAAAAAACCGCGCAATCTCCTCATCCAACTCCCTCCCCACCAGCTTCTCCATCTCCCTCGCCCTCTTCACAGGACTAACCCCCATCTGATTCGCACTAGCAAAAATGACATCCAGCTCCTCCAAACTGCGTCCTTTTGGCTCAGGAAAAAAGAAGTAAACGCTCGGCACGATCGCCGCATTAAACACAGCAAACATGGTATACGTATTGTACGACAAGTTTGCAAAAGCCGGAGGCGTAATCATAACAATGAGAAAGTTGGAGAGCCAGTTTGAACAGGTGGACAGGGCGTTTGCCTGGATGCGAATGCGCAGGTTAGTGATTTCGGCAGGGTACAGCCACGACATGCCGAGCCAGCCGATGGCGAAGAAGGTGTTGAAGCCGAACATGAAGATGACGGCTGTAATGCCGTATCGCGGCTCTAGAATGGGAGCGCCAAATTCGTCGGGTGTGGCGGTCGAGGTCATGCCGCTCATGATGGCCATGCTGGCCATTTGGCCGAGGGCGCCGAAGAGCATGAGTTTGCGTCGGCCCACGCGTTCGATCAGGGGGATGGCGATGAGACCAGCGAGGAAGTATTCCGTTCCGTTGCAGGCGGAGAGAAGGCGAGACATGTCTGGACCGAAACCTAGTGAGTTTTCGAAGACGTAGGTTGCATAGTATGTCTACAAAGGTATGGTCACTATGTGAATCAAGGTGGAAGTCAACCGGGTACTTACAATGAGGTTGATACCACTGATTTGCTGGAAGAACTGCGACACGATGCCGAGTGTAGTGCGTCTAAGGTTCTGACTCGGGCCGTTGTGCAAGAGTTCCCTCATTTTGAACGGGCCGTCTTTGCTCTGCGCTTCGAGTGCATCAATAATGTTAGTAAGCTCTGTCTCTACTTCTTCGGAGTCGATAGGTGCGCCAGCAAGACGAGCAAGAAGTTCACGAGCTTCAGCGTAGCGGCCGCGCATAACGAGCCAACGTGGTGAGTCTGGCAAGTAGAGGAGAGCGATCCTAGTACAAGATTAGCTTTGGTTAATTTGATGCTGAGGGATGGACATACATGACGAGAATGGTGAAGAACGATTGGAACATGATTGGAAATCTCCACCTCACAGAGCTGTAGCTCTCGCCTGATGGGACAGAGTAGAAGCCATATGTAACCCAGTATGAGATCATGACACCAGCCACAATAACCGCTCCAGATGTGATGATCAAGCGTCCTCGCTTTTCGGGTTTCGCGCATTCGGATTGCCAGGTGGGTATCGCTATACGGATGTCAGTCTCGTACAAAGAAATATCATAGCCTCGATGCTTACTCGCCGTGACCATGCCATTTCCGATTCCTCCTACAACCCGTCCAATGCAGAGCAAAGCATAGGCTCCAGAATTCCCGCCGTTAGCACCTCCAGGTGCAACTTGGAGTATAGTTCCGATGATCATGATAAGACTGCCCCAAAAGCTACTACTCTTCCTGCCCCAGATCTCGCCATAGAACAAGATGAGAACGGCACCTAGAAAGCACCCAATTTGGTACACAGCAACGGCAGCTGAGAGGATGCTCGGGCTTCCTGTACACATGTCTGGGTTGGGGGTGGTGTTGGTCGGTGCATCAAGCCAGCACAAGTTGTTCTGGCGCTCGCGAGATGTCATGAGAGGGAAGTGGCGTTGGAAGTCATCGAGAGTCAAGACACCAGATAAAACACCTTGGTCATATCCGAACATAAGGAAGGCGAGACACGAGCACCAAGCGATGGCGTTGTTGAGTGCCTTGCCTTGGAGGCGACCGTGTCCAGGAACGTTCCATTCTGGTAAATTACCAAGTTTGGAGAACAAACCTGAGGCTGATTCTGACTTCTTTGCTGCTTCTTGTTGCTCGATTAAACGTTGGGGTAATGTTTGGGACTGGTGATAATCTATATCATCGATGCGGGAGTCAGGAGAGTGCTCGGAACGCTTCTCAGTCGACTTTTCGGGATCCATATTGAGAATTTGAAAGGCGACCAAAACACAGTCGAACAAGAAACGAGAAAAATGCTAGTAGATCTCATTTTATACGACGATTTGCGTCTGCTAGTTCGACACTTCTGCCAGATACACGACACAGCCAAGACTGAACATGCTCCGCCTTTCCCTGGCAAGTTCAACCCCAGCCTTGGCTCCTACATAGATGGGGAATTTGGATATAGGAAAAGACCTCAAGTTACGTAGACCAAGTCTTCAGGAAGTCGGCACGGCCTAGTCGGGTAACCCGGCATCACGATGGAGGCTTGTCGACCAGATTAGCTCCAGCCAAGAGACGATGAAAGTAGCGGAGCGGAGCTCTGATCTTGGCAGATAACCTCGTCTCGATGTGTCACAAAAGCGAGTCGGTACACAGGCTCGGGGATAGCATCGAAGAAATTGTGGGACGCGAATTTGAGCACGTGGACGTCGATGAGTAGGCGAAGACATAGATGTAAACGGGAAATGAAGTGCGGCTTATTTCAGACATATTGTTCTGATGTATGCGTGTGCTGTATCTAACGCCAGCCCATGCGAATATTTGGTACATAATTGTACAAGGCTTTGGACAGCCTGATGAGTATCACAGTTGCCGGGTTCTGTGTCTCGTACAGGCGGCAATCCACGGCGTCCGCCCCCCCGCAACTCCATTCGAGAACCCAGTCGATATTTTCGCCCCCAAATTTTTGCTAGAATTATCGCATGCGGTGGTATCGTGTAAAGTGTGTGATGTTATTTCTTGCCGCGTTTAGCTTCGAGGAAAAGAACTTGTTTCCGAACTGCCAGGTTATCAGCCATCATTCGACCATCACATTGCTATCAAAGTAGCCTCCACGTTTCCTTCCTATCGCATATGTCCGAAATTATAGAGGGGACATTTTTCAGGCAGCGGTGGCTTCGATCTTGTCGTCAGGATTGATAGTAGAGAGGTCTCGTACCGATAGGATCGTATTTAAGCATGCTCAGTGGCTGGTGGGCGCGCGGTCTTTGCATGGTTCGGTAGTATCCCGTCATTGCCATTGATATGAGGCGCACCATGATGGTACGGGACTTTGCTGTAGAGCGCTGCGGTCAGCGCATGTACGGTGCAAACTTGCGACGGGCGCGGGGGAACGTTGACCGGCGATCGGGAGTGTAGGACGGCGACAATGGGCACGTCCTGAAGTTGCAGGGGTTTCGCATACCTTTCTTCGCCATGGCGACGCGCGAATATATATCGTGTCGGCGTCAATGGTGGTTGTGTCCAAGGTGGATAGTTTGGTGTTGTGAAGCCGAAGTTCTGCGGCGTTGCCCTTGTCAGCCAATGAGCGTTGATTGAGGTCTCCATCGCCGCCATTCGCCTCCGCCTCACTCCGCACCCAGGAATCAGTTGCGATATATGATTAGATTATAAGACTGTCCCACTTTCGACTAGGCTCTAAGGCTCTTCAGTGAACTCTTCAGACTGCAAGTATACGAGAAAATAGTTTTTTGATAATATTTGCTATGTAATATCCCTGTCTCGCGCGTTTGCTAGTCATGCTCAGTTGATATATGCCTTCGATCATCTCCGCTCACTGTTGTTCCTTGTAAGAACTTCTCCTTTCCTTCATAATCTCCTATCCTTATACTGCATACTGATATCCTTGCCAGGATTTCCAATATCATGAGAAAAAACTTGCCGTGGAACCGAAAATATAGTGATAGGTTGTATCGGATGAACAATGTGCCTCCTATTGATGTCGCAAGAGACTGATAAGATTGGATCTTAATATTCTCAGGTGCCTAGTGTTAATCTTTTATTTTCCTTTTGCCGGGGTAGCCTGCACACTGGCTTGACATGTCTCCGTTGAGTGACCCCAGCGGTCAGGCGAAAAGCGCAATAATACGCACGTCATACCCGGGCGCCAAAGGGAGATGTGTCGAACGATCAGTGCCATCCTTGTAGCTCCTCATCGAATCTGTCACTAAAATCATCTCCGAATGCGGTACCGTTTCTGCCTAAACCTACAAGTTGGTAGCCCTTACATACTGAAAATCTAAGAATCCGCTATACTCACTCTTACTACGTGCGACTCGAGAAGAGCGCCGCGTTGGTAGAGCAGTAGATGGCTGCGAAGATCCTTGTCGACGGGATATATAAGCCTTTTCCGGAAAAACTTGGGTGTGAGTACGACTTTGAGTCTCAAAAGAATGGTCCTGGGACCTTGGATGGGGCGATTTCGAGGGAGTGCATTTTGTATCTGACGCATCTCTCTTCAATGAGCCCAATCCCGTATCAGACTGTCTAGAAGAACGTGAAGAAATCTTCTGGGAGCCAGAAGAAGAGACTCCGGATCTAGCTGCGGGTAACACACGCTGCCTCTTCGAGGTCGAATCCCTTTCAGTCTGGTTTCTATCACGTTTGCGCGTATATGGAAGACCGGTGCCGCTGAGATTCTCAGGGATATCGTCAAATCTTTCCTGATGACTAGGTAGCTTGATTCGAAATACTCGAGACCTAGGTAGGGTTTCGATCTGTGGAGAGGAACTGTCCCGAGGCATCATCCGAGATGATGTATTGGCTTGCGACCTGGGTCGTTCTTGGGTTGAATATGAATGAGAGCTTTCCATGCGGGTTCTTCCCATATCAATTGAACTTGCTTCTCCGGTATCCAGAGACTTTCCAGGCTTATCTGACTTGGAACCCTGTCCGTGGACTTTGGGTCTTGAGATAGATTCCGCTTCTTTCTGCATTTGTGTCAGCTCTTCTGATGCTATGCTGGTTAGCTCGGTTGAGCTCAAGTCCCGATACGAGGTATCTTCTTGTGGATCTTGGTCAGCTCTCTCTGAGAAAAACATTTGCGAAAGTGTCAAGTCCCCTAGATCCTGGGTTCCTGGAACTGTATTGAAACCATGATTGAATATCGAGCTATTATTGATTCCATCTGTCTGCGCGCTGTTACCGTCATCGAAAAGAACCGAAAATAGATCTGGGTCAATAGATTGGGCTTGTGAAATCTCGGCACGGACAGATGGCGGAAACTGCAGGCTACCGGTCTGCTCTTGGGTAGCCTCTATTACTGATTGATTATCCCGATTCACTTTCTTTCGAGGTTTTGTGGTGGGTATGTTTTGGACAGATTTGGAATTAGATAGGCCTGGGGTCGTGTCTTGAGTGCTATGCCATTGGCTCGGCGCACTCTGATCTTTGGCTCCTTGGAGTGCATTGCCGAATTCCTTTTCTAGTGCGAGCAATTTGGACTCTGCCGCCTTTCGGTCCGCCTCAATCCGGGCTTGATACTGGTCTTCCAATAATATACCCCTCGCCTCGACTTCCCTCAACATGGCGTTTGTTTCAGCCAAGCGGCGCCTATATTCTTGAACATCATTGCCATGCCCTTCAATGAGCTTTCGGTTTTCATCGGCAGCTTCGTTGCGTATCCGTGCCACCTCCTTGTTCTTGTCATCAACCACAGAGTACAGGTTGCGCAATTCCTCTTGCAAACGAGCCTTCTCAGCATGCAAAGACGTTTCGACTTCTTTCTCTCTCTGCTCATCTACACGACCTTTTTCTAGCCTGGAAAGGAGTGTTTGGTTTTTGCGCTTTAATGCCTTGATTTTGTCCTGGCTCGATTGCAATTCATTCTGAGCGTCTCGTCCAATTTGACAGATTCGGTCATCCATCTCTTGACGCAGCGCCTTCATATCAGATTGTTGTTGCGATATCTGAACCCGCAATCCAGTCTTTTCATCATTCTGGTCCTTAAGCTTCTTCTGAAGCTCCACAAGCTGCTCGTCTGTAGTGCTGAGCCTTTGGTTCAGGGAACAGTTGAACATCTCTTTCTCACTAAGGATGAGCTGGAGTCGGTTGATTCCACATATATGTTCGTGCTCTTTTTCAGCCAGCTTGATTTCACATTCCTTCGAGATTGTGTCACAAATTGTCGCAGCATTCTGCTTCTGCAAAACGGATTAATGACGAGGTTCTCATGAGCTCACTTTTCTTACCTCGTCCATATGCTCCTGAACCGCTTTTGTTCTCTCTTCTTGCGCAGCCTCGTAACGCTTCTGTGATATGTCAAGCTCACGCTTCTATTTGAGAACCAAGGGTATTACCTTGTACTCAGTTGCGTCCTTCTGGAGACCCTGTCGCAGTTTTTCTCCGTTATCAATCTTTTCGCTGGCTGACCTCAGTTCATTTTCAGCTTCTTTGAGCCGTTGGCGCAGGTCAAGGTTGATCTTTTCAGATGCTGACATCTCCGAACGAGATGAGTCAGTTGCTATCTTCAAGTCATTTAGGTCGCGCTCCAGTTCGCGAGATCGTTGCTGTAGATTCACCTCGATCTGCTGTAGATGTTCAACTCGTTCGATGAGGCGAGAAGATTCATGCTGCTGGTCTATCAACTGCTTCGTGAGTTCAGTGTTTAAGCCATTGATCCTACGATTCTCAGCAGCAATCTCTTCATATCTCATCATTTTTGTTCGTAAATCATCTAACTGTTCTTTTATCGATGCGTGAAAATCTGTACTGGGTGGGGCACTGCGAACAAGCGCCCGGGAGAAGTCTTTTAGACCAGAGTCGATGCTATTTCACGTGTCAGAACAGCGCTTCCTTTTAAGTTGGGGTGCCACGTACCGTTCCTGGACGATGCGCAATATTCCCTCTACTTTATGGACGTCTTCCAACGTCAAGACGGACTCCTTTTTTAGGTTATTCAGTATGCTGAGGCATTCCTCGATTTTGGTGTTTTGGGGGTTGTGCATGGCAGCCTTCTCGATCGAAGTTTGCAGCAGCTCTAGTTTCTTCGCTACGCGATTCGAACCGTCGTTGAACTGGCGTTGCAGGCTTTGAACTCGACCGAAGACTTCGTTCTCAATCTTTTCTCGCTTTTCCCTTTCGCTTGTACACTCCGCTTCTAGTCTGTTCAATCTTTCGGTCAAAGCTTTGTTCACTGAATTGGCTACAGCAAGTTGTACATGGAGCTCATCAGCCACCGCCCTCATTTTCCTCTGACTGTTTGAGAGTTTGTAAGCGGCCGTTTCAAAATCTTCCACAATGCTCCGCTTCTCTTCTTCGATTTCAGTTATCTTTGCTTGCAGGACTTTCTTGTTGTGCTCCTCAGTCGTCGCAGCCAGTTTTTTCAACTTTTCACAGTCATTCCGGAGGCCCTCTAGGAACTTTTGGTTGTTTTTCGCTTTGCTGGTCAGACTGCTCAATGTCTTCTTCTGCTCATCTCGCTGCTTCATGTAGTCTGCAATCATTTCTCTCTGGCGGTCAACTTGTTGGAGAAGTGTGGTAACTTGCTCTTGACTATTTTTCAATTGTGTGGTGTACTCGTGATGCTTTCGGAAGCTTTCTGCCAAGAACGCCAGTCTTAAGTCCTCAACCGAGCGTTCGATGGCAGGTGACGTGGATGCTCTGAATAATTTGGATGTAGATTTGCTGTCCCCACGTGGGTTTCCTCGTGGTTTGGTTACGCGATCTGATCCTCCTCTGCTTGAAGTCCCGTGCAATATATATCTAGATGTGACACTTCGTGCAATAGGTGGTTTAAAGTTGTAGCTTGGATGCACTTGAGACTGGCGCTCGTGTTGATCGCCTCTGAGGTCAATGGAATCTGGTACAGTATCTTCACGGGCCTTTTCAGATGAAATCGGATCTTGGTATTTCGCATTGCCCATCTTACACTGAGACCCTTTGGCCTCATCATCGCTTGCGTGTACGGATTTCTCACCCGTCTCGGCGACATGGAGTTGCCCACTAATAAGAGACGAAGGCTGCAAGGCAGAAGTTGGAACGGCGTGTTGCGCCGATGTGTCCGAGAGAACCAGAGGCATACATTGAGCCAGATCTCTCATTTCGTCGTACGCTACTGTCCTAAGCTCAGTATGGGTTTCTTTCCGGGCATGTGTTTCGTGAGTTGAGCAGTCTGGTGCGAGTTTCTTGTGATCATGATTGAAAAGCGGAAACTCCACATTAACTTTGGAGACAACTTGGGACTGGACATTGCATGTCTGGAATGCAGAAAGTTCGGGTAATTGGATAACCTCATTAGGTACAGCTCCACCAGCGTTGTTGAAGTTGTGGATGTGACCAACAGAATGGGTTTGTAGAAGAGGCCATGATCCACCCAGTCGTTGGGTTGGCGACTTCTTCGAGTTCTCCTTGTATTTCTTGAGACTGACATTGTTTTTTGCCGGGTCTTTCATTTTGATGCCTGGAGATGACGGTGGAA